ATATATTGATGTAGGCTGCCGCTATTCAATTTATAGTTATCAAACTAATGTGCAGATTTTTTAAATTTCAATTCGACATAGCAGCAATTTTTTGAAAGATAGGGTTTTAACTTTCAAACGAACGAAATTAATTAGTTATTTGTAAAATGTTTGATTTGAAATAATTATTTCAAAAATTTTTGTAACTTGTAACAGCATTATTAATTTATGTAAAAATTTTTTCTTGCTCAAGCACAATTTGTAATATTTAGTTAATATTCTTACCGAATAGATATTTCAGATTTCAATTTTTAAGATATGATTAAGTATTAATAAATAATCAATTAAAACAGAAATAATTTTCTTTTTTTAGCAACATTTGCTGGGATTCCACGCACAATAACGAAATTTTATTTTATACATTCAATCACTGATTATCATTTTCTTTATTTATCTCTGATAATTCTTGCCATTCTCCGTCGTCTCTCTAATGACGCCATTTCTCCTAATTTGATTATTACAAATTATCGAAATGATTTTCTCTCGTTCCTTCTTCTTGCCTGTTGCAATACATTTAAAATTTTTAGATTGTTGTAATAATTTAGGTAAATTTATAATTCTAATACGAATACGTTTCGTATTAATTTAGAGTAGCGATATATTCTTTAACTTATTAGAAAAAAAGAACTGTCTAATATCACTAATATATGTAAAATAAAAATTTATTGAATTTAAATTTCAATATTATTGTTGAAAATACCGGTTTAAAAAAATATTTTTTTTTCCTAGTCTTTATTGATGAAAAATTAATAACAATAAATTTTTTGATTCTTTAACGATGTTTTTTTCTTTCCCATCACTTTTTCAGTTATAAAAGCAATCTTGGACAGCATAAATCAATAATCTATCTCACTGTAAAAAAGGTACATTTACTCATTTTTTTCATATTTAAGTAGAATTGAAATAATGCATAACACATTTAATAAATTTACGTTTCAATAGTTACTAAATGTCTTTTATATTCAGTGATTTTTTTCAATAATTTATTTTATAACGGTTGATTGATTTAAAATGACTTGTTAGCACTCATACATTTTTATTTTTGATAATACATTTAGTAACTAAACAAACAATTATTTTAAAATGCTAAAATTTTATGACTTACATCATAAGTTAAAGATTATACAAAAGCAATAAAATACGGTTACTTAAAAATAATTTATAGATTTAAAATTTGAATAGCAATTTAATAAGTTTCAAAAACTCTTTTCGACAACATTGTAATGGATTTTTTGTTTTCAGTGATCATTGCCGTCTTATTACGGTAGTTTTCAGTGAGAAACTGTATTTTTTCGGTATTTTTTTATATAGACATAACAATACAATGCGATAGCAATAAGCAGTCATATGTCTTCATTTTTTCTTCTTTTTTCCCAATTTTAATAATTTTCCAATTTTATTATATTTAACGAAATACTATAGTTTTTTTCTTGTATAATAATTGAACGAACTATAAATAATCCTTAAAAGTAATTTAATAAATTGTGGGCAAGGAAAAAATCCTTCAGAATCTTTATCTCACACACAAATAATAATTTTACAGCAATTTTAATTTTTATTAAATGAAAATGTATAAATGTGAATAAGGAAGTAAGTTTTCGAATAATCGCAAAATATATAACACAGCAGATGTATGCATTTATCTAATTAATATTCATGGGAACTGCGAAAAGGAGGGAAGCAAAATAATGAAATAGATTAGAAGCTAGAGAAATTAAAGGCAAAAAAAAAATTATCATTTTTTTAAAATCAGAAACTAGACCGATGATATTTCTAATCATTAAAAGGCAAAGGAATTTGTTGTTCCACTGGGCTTTCTATCATATTTTCGTTTCTATTAAGAATCTCTTAATAATAGATGACATTTAGAAATGTTAAGAATAATTTTAAAAAGAAAATAATTAGAAGATTGTATTCCACCATGAGGTATATTTTGGACGATTGTTTTTACCGCCTAAACTTAAAGCGAAACATTTTGATCCACAAATCCAACTTCGATGATGTCCATCAAATGGAAACGGTGAACATAAAAAGCTATGCATCATGGATGATTGAGGTGGATAACCATAAATTAATGATTGTCCATAACGTCCACTGCTGGTACTTGTATTAATGGCAGTAGCATAATGAGCGCAAGCATAACCGAAGCTAAGCGATGGCATCTGAAAAAAATAATTTCAATGATTAAACTTTACTTATTATATTTTGCAGCACTTTAAGAATGTAGCAAATAACCTTTAACAGTAAATAATATTTTGCATCAGATTTCTTAAAAAATCGATTTTCATTTTTAAACATAATAAATATTTATGTAAACAATATTTTATGAGAAAAAAACATATTACGAAAGCAATAAATAATTTCTCTTTGCGAAAAGAAACTAATATGTTAGACAAATTTTTCAAAAAAATTTTTTTTGATAGTAAGTAATATTTTGCATTTATATGAATTATCTCTTAAAAATTAATAATATGTAACATAAACTTTCGAATAACTTTTTTTCCTAACTATTATGAATATTGATTTATTTGTGTAAATAATCTTTTTCAGTAAACAATTTGCTAACCAAGATTTTGAAAAACGTGATTTTTTAATTATTAACTAACTTCTATAATAGGAATTAGCATTTCATTGTTCTATCAGATGATATTTTAACAAAAGTTTCATTAAAAAAATCAGTTAACGGGCGAATAGAAAAGACTTTGATTTTAATGAATTTAATTAGTTTTAATTATGACAAAAAATATATACATGGGGAAATGGAGCAATTCCCCAATGAGGTAAAGTATGGTAAAAATTATGAGTTTGTAGCATTGCATCTTTTTGACTTTCCCGATACGATGGTGGTGGTCCTCGTAAGCAGCTTGTCGATCGTAAAGATAATCGTTTTAATCGAGCAATATCCTAAAAACAAGCAATTAACAATTTTTTTAGAATTAATTATTTGAATTCTTTTGTTTTAAAGTATAAGTGAAATCTTAAGATAAATTGTAAAGTAGGCTAATTTATAAAGTCAATAGCAAATGCCTAAATGAATAATGTAACGTAAAAATTTATAGCATATATACATAAGTATTTCATATTAGATAAACATTTTCAATAAATTAGTTGAAAGAATGATAAAATTGATAAAGAAATATACAAGTGGAATGGAATGTGATCGAAGTGGATGTGTGTACAAACATCGTCGTACTGTATACAGTTTTAAATGTCCTTTACTAAGACGTGCAAGTTGTCGAAATTCATTGTCTGTGGCCACAATACTCTATAAATTTAAATTAATTTCAAAGATTTGCAAAGAAACTTTAGTTAAATCTTGTACGAAAAGAACAAAGTAAAAATTTTAATAGGTATATATCGCCACATTAATTTCTGGATGATATATATGTAATCTATTTAGAATTCGTTGAATTTAAGTTTTGAAAAATTTTGCAATCTATTAAATTTTAAATTCAAAATATTTACATAATATTCATTTTGTGATATTTGAAAATGAAAAAGAATGATAAACAAATAATGAAATCACCTCACTACCATGTTTATCACAACTTGCTAATACATCATTGAAATCTGGTAGCTGTCGACGAATTTTTTGCAACAAAATCTATAATGAAATAGACGAATTGAAATAAATTGTATCCATAAGTATTTCCGTTGAAAAAATCTGAATTAAAACAACGTACAAAAAGAATATCGAATTAAAAAATGATGATTGAATTTAAGTGAAAGGAATAATTTATGATTGATGCGTATATTAATTTATCTATTATTTAAGTCAGATCTTTTTGTTAATTTTATCTAAATAATTTGAAATTTTTGATAAATTTATCAGTAATTTGAAATTTTTGATCAAATTGACTTACTTCAAAGGCATCGTCTTGAGCCAACTCTTGCTGTGTAAGAACAAATTTATATTTGTGGCCATGATGATTCCATTTCACTTTCAAATCGCCGCCATTATACTTCATTTCGTTAACTGAACAAATTTCGTTAACGAAATTAGAGTAATAAATAAATGAGATGTTTTTGAATGTTATTTTATCGTATACAACGTAGCAATACTGATGAATGCTATTGTAATGCTGTTTTGTGTATGAAGTTATAGGTGATCAAACAATGTTCCACAATAAACAATATACCTAAATATGAGAATAATATCCATTACAATAAATAATAATAACAATGATATTAACAATAATATAGTAATAATAGCACTAACAATAATAACGAATAATAATGGCAATGGCGATGATATTGTGACAATATTAACAACAAATAACGCTCATAATAGCAAAAAGAAGAATTTTTTGTGAGAAGTAATTTAACGATTGACATGTAATAAATTGTATCAATTTGATACATTAATTATTAGCTAACAAATGGGTAGACTCACAAAAAGTTCTTTTTTTTTCATTTTTCAAAAAATTTTATATATAAAGTA